AGGATGATGATAATGCTGAAATGATTAGATTGGTTGATAACGGAATATTAAAATAATCAAACATGAATTTGTAAACATATCCACTGTCTTGTTATATCAAAGAAAATCACTGTATAATATTACACTACATATTGTACAATGTATATTAGGCGTCAATGAATACTTTTTATATTTGTTAATGTTTTAGTAGGGTTACCATTTCATAGAGATTATGGAAAGAAGTTAGGATTTAAAATATCATGTAATAAGGTTTATTTTTCGGATGGTGAACAGCAGGATTTTGTTGAATTTCATGAAATGTTTGGATAATAAGATACTTAAGTAGTATTGTTTGTTTGGATGTTTAAACAATAAGATTATTTTTTTGTTTCTCAGACAAAGATGATTTCTTTATCTGGTAAAGTTAGTTACCTAAAATATCATATTAGATATGAAACTAGAGATGTTATTACATAACAGTAAAATGTAGATTACTTTTCAGATTCGTTTTGTTCCTATTCGATCACCATGCACAATACTTAAAACATTTGCACAAAATAATTCACTCTCATGTCTACTTACAATTTGGTTCACCATTGGGATTATTTCGGCTATATTTTGTTTGTTTGGAGTTACCTTATATCTTTCAAGGAGCACTGTGATCGAAATAAGTTCGTGGTGGTTCGAATACTTCCATTCATTTACTTCAGATGTTGTTTATCAATTGGAACCTGCTACATTTAGGAAGGAATTCATCAAAGAAGATGGTTAGCAGTTTCATTTCATTTTAACGTAATTCCCCTCCTCATCTCCAGTTCTTGCTGTGTTTCCTATGAATGTCAGACAAGTTGTTTTTAAGGAATTATTTTTATGAAAACTTATTGACCAGTAGTCATTGTACATATTACTATACAAAACAGTAATTAATTATTCGATATTTTGTTCATATTTGTTTCATTTATAAAGGCAACACAGAAATAATTCCCGTGCAGTGTTTCAAGTTAACCTGCTTCATTTCAGATGGTTTGAAGTTTATAATCCCTGGTTGGAACATTCCGTGGACACAAGTACCGCTATATATTGGAGTTTTGTTGGTCGCAGTAGTAATTCATGAAATGGGACATATGTTAGCAGCACTAAGTATTAATGTTCCGGTTACAAGTATGGGTTTCATCCTTTTTGCCATATATTTTGGTGCTTACGTTGAAATTGATGCTGTGGCAATGCGTGAGTTTTTGCTCTTTGTAAGGTTACTTTGCATTTTAAAGAAAGTACTTCTTTTTTAGTTCATTTATGTTCAATAGTTATAAAATTAAAAAACATAGCAATATATTCATGACGCTGAAATTTTTTTTTTCCTCATTTTCGAAAGATTTTAGCAAATTGTGCAAGTTTCCACTTAAATAAAAATATATTGAGAAAATGAAAGAATATGAAACATTTTCCTAAATATAAGGGTTTGAAAAAAAATGACAGTGCTTTCATCACTCGAGTATTATTTAAATTTGCACAGGTATGAATCATCACTGTTTCCCTTAGGTCGTTTATCGTCTATACAAAAACTGCGAATCAGTTGCGCGGGAATATGGCATAATTTAGTATTTGCATTATTTGCATGGATACTTCACGAATCTACTTCTTTCATTGTTTCACCATTGTATATGTCTGATGCGGGTGTTTACATTGAAAGTGCGTTGAATTATTAATTTTGTTATGGAAATAAGCAAAATTATTTTTGAATTATTTGAAACTTCAGTTTGATGAAGTCTTCTCGCTGTAAATTATAGTAACTGTGTGCTTATAGAAAAGGTATGCAATCGCTGCAGTGAACTTCATTATAATGAAATAGTCATAAGCCATATGTGATATCAAATTCGTTTTTTTTTAAGAAGGTTTATGATGTCAACCAATGAACCATTGTTTTGTTAGAGATTATAAATTGTATGAGATGAAAGTATGTGTTAGTCAATGGTTGGGATACATTTCATACAGATATTACTATGGTTAGAAAATTTACTTTATATAGTTACATGGTGAAATTCTCTGGAAATGTTGCTGTGGATTTCAGGTCTTCAAAAGGATTCTCCTATATCAGGACCAGTTGGTTTACATAAAGGCAATGTTATCCAGGCAATAAATGATTGTGATGTAAGCAATATTAATGATTGGAATCGATGTCTGACGACAATAAAATATACTAATTCGGGATTTTGCGTGCCAGATGACATAATTGCGGAGAATATGGCAGATGAGGTTTTTTCAGTTATTTGTTATTTTCTATGTCTTGTTGGATTTTTGTCATATTATCTTTTTTAATAACTGGTTATCGTTTGGTTTGTCTTCTACTATGGAGCGAAATTTACCTGTATTCTCTGAAATTAGGTTATTAACCATTGTTATTTGGCTTTGGTGGTTAGTTTGTTCATTTTGAAAGTCAGAAGATATAATTTTCCTCGGTAAAACACTCTGTAAAGAGCTGCTTTCAGACGACAGTAACAGCGCGAAAATATTAGTCATTTTAGATGCAGTTAGTAGGGAATGAATTGGATTGTTGTCACAATTCAACATGGGGTAATTCAGCTTCACATATGTGCTTTTACGTGCGTGATTGGATGCATACCATCCGTATGTTTTGATTTTATCTTACATGTCGTATTTATTTGTATTTATAATTATGATGACACTATCGATGAATTGACGCTAGTTACGAAAAGTCTTGCTGCATATTTTTGTTTTTTCTCTCTACTTTGGAACATTGTCAACAAGATTCTGCGTAATTTTTTTTTTTCACATCGTCTTCCATTATTTATAAAATTTAGCTAAAAAACCAAGTCATGAATTATTGGAGTATTTCTCTGCGAAAATATGCTCATGTTTATCAGCGAGATATACAGCAGGTTCGTTAAAGATAACTCAGTAATCTAATTATTCTTGTAATTTTTGAGAAAACAAATCAGCAAGTTAAATTTTGGAAGATTTGTGATAGAATCCGTGAAAATGAAATCGTCTAAGACTGAAAATTTGCAGATTTACAGTTTTGCAGTTCTACTGAAAATTGCGCGGACACAAGTGGAAGATTGAGAACCATTCACTCATCTTGCGTTTTCCCTGCTGTTTTAGGCAATATGTCATTTATGAGAATTTCGATTGGGAATACATCGCGTGTAATTCTCTATGTAGGCTACGCCAGGGAGGTAATTGCTTGAATATGACATTGCAATAATTTCCGTATTTTTTTTTTCAGTAGCTGTGTATTATCGTTATTTAAGTTGTTCGAAGAGGCATTGATTGAAATATAGCGTAAGACATGTTTTGCACATTTATTGGTTTCACATCACCTAACATTAAGGAAAGCACCAAATTTTTTCTTTTTTTAGAGAAATAAGAACAGTGATTACAGTTAATGTAATTTAATCCAAGAAGTTCGCTATTCTCGGGTGCATTCAAGTAAGAGGAGGTCAAGTATTAGCATATTCATGAAAAACAGTATATTCTGGGAGTTTTGATATGAAAATATGTTGTAAAAAAAAGTTTGCATAGTTCAATAGGTAATTTTACTTCCGAAGAAACGATTCTTTTTTTTACAGTTGGAATTTCATGTACAAGTGAGCAATTACATACCTCGGTTACCAATCATATCAACATTTATACCTTACTTTATTGAGTTAGGGACAAAATATATCTTCACATTTTCCCTCGGTTTGTTTTGTCTTTTATTTTTCGTTTCTTTTCCTATAGTTTGCTGTTTTGAATTTGTGATTTTTTATTGAATTGACAACAAATGTTTAAAAATTTTGAACTCAATATTTTTCGATTTTCATTTTTCTAGCTTTTGCTGTTATCAATGCGACACCTTGCATTTTTCTTGATGGGCAATATATTTTCTCTAATTTTGTGGATTTTATGTTCAGCAAGCTGAGACCGAGGTTTTTTTTTTAAACTGAAGTTTATTTAAATATAGATTCCGTACTGAAAACAAATGTTGGAAAATTGGAATTTTTTAGAAAATTTTTTTTTCGGTCCTTTAGAAAAGAAATATAGGGTCTTATTTTCTTGTTTTGGGAGACCTTCAAGCTTCCTGCAATATGTTTTCTTGTTAGCGTGCTCTGAAATTAGAGAGAGTACTATCTTCAGTTAAATTTACAGAACTGTAGACTTTTCACTGTTTTTGCCAAAGTTTTCGTGCATTTGTCAGTTAATCGTAAAGTAATGTCAAAATCGAAAGGAAAAAAATATTTTCATTGGCTTGTTTAGGAGACGACGATTAATAAAACGACTGGTCCTGACATATGGAACGACACTTTTAGCAGTAAATTTCACCCTCGCAATTTGGAAGTTATATAAACATATTGTATAGCGTATTTTTATTATCACTATCATTTGATGTTTTAGACCTTTGAGTTTTCAAATTTAATTTGTTAAATCAGTGAATTGCATTGAATGATAATCGTTTTATATACTCTATGTATTGTTTTTATATACTCTACGGGTTCTTTGTTTTATAAGTTTGGAAATTTGTTAAGTTCGTATTTTTTTTTTATGTATAAAACTTCAATAATTACTTTTGAAACTGATTTTGCGGTTAAATCCGTTTTGGTAGTATTCTCAGATATTTTATAAGTTCACAGCACTCCTTCTTTGATCATGATAATTAAAATGCTGGCATATTTAACAGCAAACGTAGGTCATATGGTTTAGTTTCATTAACCGCTTTGAGTTTACACAGGGATCTGTATTTACTATCTATAATGAGATCCCTAAACAGATTAAGTTTTCATTTAATTCTTCCCTTTTATGCCGTCAAAAGTTTATCTTATTATGTGTGTAACGAATAGAACGTTCAGTCTGTTATTCGCTGTTATCGATGGTAAGGAATAATCGACTGTGGAATTTTATTATAAGTGCAGAGTTGTATTCTCGCAAAAAATAGATTTACAAAATGCAAAAATGAGAATAACCTTGATAATTGCAGGGGATTTTTCCTAATTGCAAAATTTTTGGTAATTAAAAAGTTTGCATGAATGAACGATCCCGAAGTGAAGATCCACGATGTTTGGGCGAACAATTTGGAAGAGGTGAGGCTTTCTAAATAATTTTTTTTTTGTTTTAGAATGATTGTTTTTGCAAAAAATTTTAAGTTTTCTTGTACATAATATGTAAAAATAATTCTTGTAGGAGTTCAAGCGAATACGGGATACAGTCAAAAATTACCCATTTGTTGCAATGGATACGGAATTTCCAGGTGTAGTTGCTACACCTTTAGGACAGTTCAAAAGTAAGGAAGATTTCAACTATCAACAGGTAATTTACTAGTAGTTTTTTCACTTAATTTTTCTTTTTGATTGTTTTCGGAACAAATCCTTCTGTATATATTCATAACTAAGATTCCAGGCGTTTTTTTTTTTTTCAGGTTTCCTGCAATGTAAATATGTTAAAATTGATCCAGGTTGGATTTGCTTTGTTGGATAAAGAAGGTAACATGCCACCGACGGGTGATGTATGGCAGTTTAATTTTCAGTTTTCCTTAAATGATGATATGTATTCACAAGACAGCGTCGATTTGTTACGTAATGCTGGCATAGATTTTGGACGACATCAAGTAAGCTTTTGATGTGACAGCAAAGTTAGTAAGATTAGTGTAAGTGAATTCTTTTAAATATGAATGGAAAGAAGACCTAGATTTGTTTGACTTAACATATAGCTTGTTCTTGTTGTTTTCCTTTTTGTATTTTAACATAGGAAAGCATCTCTCTAGTTCTGAACTTTCATATACCCATATATCTGGTGGATTATATGATTGCAATCTTAGTTGGCACTATAGTGTGTGCTGTATATGATATGAGAGTTTTCATCACAGTAGTTTTCAAGAATCCTTAAAAGTCACCTAAAAAAGATCGGAATATTGTATCAAAATATTTTATTTATAGGTTGAAGGAATACGGATGGCCGATTTTGGTGAACTACTTACGACATCAGGTTTAATTGTTGATGAACATATTACGTGGTTAACGTTCCATAGTGGTTACGACTTTGGATACCTCATGCGTTCTATTCTGCTTTCGGAATTACCCAAGGAAGAATCACAGTTCTTTCAATATCATCGTAAACTTTTCCCGTGCAGTTATGACTTAAAAATGCTATTGAAACATCCAGGCTTAGTGAATGCAAAATTGAGAGGCGGTTTGCAAGAGGTTTGTCCATTACCGAATGACTACTAATTTTCTCTTTGTTTCACTTCATCTTGTTTATAAATTACTGTTTCTAAAACAACGACACTTAACTCATCTAGATATATAGCATTTCTTGCTTTCACCGAAGCAAACTTGCAATCCCATTACTATTTGCAGATGGATCGTGTATTTTCTTTCGGTAATAATACTATTCAATTTTGCATGAAACCTACTTGCATTAGTGAGATAAACAGTTTACTTTTCTTTTAGCGACTTTTTTTTCTGATTTTAGAGTTTTTTAAACTCTTAAAATGTAAATGATTAAGATCTTTTCACAATCCTCCTGTGTTTCAGCTCTATCATACAATTTTCAGCTTGCTGATCAGCTAAAAGTGATTCGGAAAGGACAACAACATCAAGCGGGTTCTGATTCATTACTCACTGCGCAAACATTTTTCAAAATTAAGGAGCGTTTTTTTGAGGATACTTGGGATCAGGTGATTTTTTTCTGCTTAGATGGTAGGTTCAGGATGAAAGCATCTATCATAAATTAATAAAAAGGATAGGAAATGAAGATGATATTAATAGGGAGATTGTATAATTGAGCGTAAGCTAGAATTAAAAGTGCTAAAATTTGCAGTATTACCCCTTTATACATCACCTATATAATTAGTGAATTTGGAGGACCGGCAGTATGAAATTGCCCATTTTGATTTCTTCTGTCTGTTGTTCTTGATTATTTATTAGCAATAGTAATTGTCATCACTTCAGGTTGCGCCAACAGTTGAAGGACATCTGTACGGTCTCGGAAATACGCTATCATCAGGTGCACCATTTGTGCAAATGACGGATTCATCATCAACTCCCGAACCACAGCAATCGTCGACACCAGAAGCAGCATGATAACTTCTTTTCTTAAATTCTTAAGATAGTGGCTTTAATATTCTTCTCTGGATCAGATCATGATGTTGTTTACAACTGTAAATAATGCGCTGTTTACTTGCGAGATTTAAAAAAGGAAATTTTTCTATACATTTCAAATTGTAATTTCTTTTTTGATCCAGTGGCTATTCAGTGCCAATCCTTAAATGTTATCATTTATCATTGAAAGTGACTGTTGGTTAATATATGACGGGAAAATGTCGCAATCTAGCAAATGCTCATATTGTCTCGCTAGTGTAAGCTTTGGACTTCACTGTATATGTGTCATTGTTTGATCCGAAATCCCTATTGAAACATAATATATTTTCTGTTGTTATATGGATCAATATTTTTATTGTTGCCAACTCCTCTAGTGTTTGCGGGTTGGAGATCTTTCAGAAATGCCAATTCCTTCCTTGTTAACTCGTGATTATGGAGAATTCACTGGTGGAATTCCTGTATGCGAAGTATTACTGACTACAATGAACGCAAAATTCTACGGTCAATTCCTAATAAAGTATTTTGGTTGAATTATGGAGGGCGATAGGGGAATTCAGTCAAGAATCGTCATATATTAGGCATGAAAGTGGAGAACCCGAGATTTAATCCTTAACTTTGCGAGAGAATTCTTTGACAGTTATAGGATGTCCCAGGAGAGTAACTAATTGTATAAGTCGGAGGCGCCACTTGTCATAAAACGAATCGTAGGGGCGGGTCTGGATTTTGGGGTTGGTAATGTAATGCAGATCTCGCTGGGACGTGTGAGTTGCATTGAGATTCGTTACGTTTTGCATTTTTAGGCCGTTAAAATAGGTTAGTTTTGGGTTGTATAGCTGCTGAAATTGTGTTCATTGGAGGATGCCGCCTAAATTCGATCCAAGCGAAATTAAAATTGGTAAGTGTAAAGGATTACTACACTGTATTAGTTGAGTCGAAACTGAACTTTAAGTTAACTCGAGTTGGACAGTTTCTTTAATATTAAGTCGAATACTGTTGTAATGATCGTTTATTAGAATTCTTTTTTGAATTCATGGATTTAAGTGAATGCTTTGGGAAATCAAAGTCCTTACAGTATATGTGCGGATATACATTGTATGGGTGTGCATATACATTTATATGTAGCTCTTCGAATGTAGTGTCATGCTGGAGTTATGTTTGGGGAAGAATTTCTAGACTTGGTCGTTGCAGAATTGAGATTTGGAAATTTTTTTGGAACTAAAATTTAAGTAGAAAATGAATAGCTTACATGTTGCTTGTAGTTTATCTGCGTTGTGTTGGCGGTGAAGTTGGTGCTACATCTGCTTTGGCACCGAAAGTTGGACCACTTGGCTTGGTGAGTTGTTTTCATTCGTTTGTTTTACTGAAGTTAACTGTGTTAGGACTAACTGACTTTTTGCTCCTTGTATGCTTTGTGACTTCTAGTAACTGGAATAAGGAATGGGCTTACATAGGTATTCTAAAAAGTCCTTGTTTATTTATTAAATCCGAGTCAGTAATTTAAGCTTTTTCAATATACTTCAAACTGAAGTTTATTGTTTCCACATTGAGTTTTCTTATACTGTTGTTGTTTGAAATTGGAACATTCTAGTGTCATATTAAGTTTTGCATATCTGGATTTTTCAGTCACCGAAAAAAATTGGTGATGACATTGCGAAAGCAACACAAGATTGGAAAGGTCTAAAGGTAACATGCAAGTTGACGATCCAGAATCGTGTAGCAAAAATAGATGTAGTACCGAGCGCAGCATCATTACTCATCAAAGAGTTGAAAGAACCTGCACGGGATCGGAAAAAGGTTAAAAACGGTACGCGACAACACGTCATGTTAATATGCAATTGAAAGAGGAAATAGGGAAAGGGAGAGGTAGATACAAACAGAAATCTGCGCGTTATTATCATGGTGGTATATATATGCCTGTCCATATATCTATAGGCGGAGGGTCGGGTGACCAACGCACGGTCCCCATCCCCCAGTCATTTTCGGCCATTGCAGTTTTTGCGTAAGCTTTGCAACTGAAAAGACTGGTAACCGTTTTTCGGGTCAACAACGAATTCGGTAAGCCCCCAAGTAACATTATCCAATACAAGATGAATGAGCGCGCGTATGTTCGTACAGTGTGTGGAAGTTGGTGGATGGTTCGGGGGGAGGCTAAATTTCGGTTTTGGTGTGTTTTTGGAGATGCAGTTCTCGCGTGGAGATCTTCAAGTAGTTTTTCATGGTGGATTTTAAATAAGCAATAGGGGACAATAGCGAGAAACGAAAGTCGGTTTTTAGCTGCTGCTTGTGCACATATATTTATTGGACGAATGAAGTGGTTGAATTTCTTAGGTCTGTATCTGTGAGAAAAGAAATAGGTGGGTTGAGAAAGGGATGTTAGTTCTTTTAAGTTGGGTTTGGTCGGTATATGTTGTGCGTATAATTGGTAAAATGTCAAAATTTCTTTTTTGATTTCTCACTTTTCCAATAACTTTTCTCTTGTTTTGGATAAAATACTTATTTGTAATGAATCTAGCAAGTCGTGAATAATGTAGTTTCAGTCAAACATAATGGTGACCTCACCGTGGAACAAGTTATCAACATTGCACGGCAAATGAGACCGCGTTCAATGGCGAAGAAGTTAGAAGGCACTGTAAAGGAAATACTGGGTACTTGTTTACTGGTGTGATTGTTTGTGTAAAAAGTAGTCAAGGGGACTTCTGTTTTTGAACAATAGATTAAATTTGAGCATGTAATGGTTACTGATCTTTGAAAAGTGATCCAGTTTTCATGGACTCGAATTTTTATAGGTACAGCCCAATCAGTTGGTTGCACAGTGAACGGGCAGCATCCGCATGATATAGTTGATGCCATACGTAGTGGCGATATCGTCATTCCAGAGGATTAACTGGCAGATGATTTTGTGTTTTCTATTTTTCGTTGTCCTTTTTTTGTGTTGTTTGAAATTGGATTGAGTTTCCCTGAATAAATGTTGGCAATTCTTGTTCATTCCTCGTAGCTATGCATTTAGACTGTATAACTGGCTTAATATGTTGTGTCAAAATATACGATTATGGAATTTTGGAATTTCGAATTGATAGGCTGATATACACAACAGAAATATTGTTTGAAAGGATGTAAATGCTCGCCCTCTGCAGATTTTCGTAGTATAATAAGTGGGCTCAGTCTTTTTGAGAGACGAGATTTATAAGTGGTAGAGGGGCCGGTTTTTTTTTTTTTTTGATTAGGGATGTTAAACATGGGAGGATTTATATATTCCATTTTGTGTCGGAGTGGAAATCTACTTCTGATTCAAAGTTGGTCTTCAGTTGGACAGTAACTAATGTTCTATTATTTTTTCTGAGAAATGAATCAAGCGTTGTCTTGAGTGCTGGGTGGATTAAATTTGGTAAAATTAGAGGGAAAGGATTGGTATATAAATAGAATGAGTCAAAATGTTCATATCTACGGTATACCTTTTTCCTTCTATTCTTGATTGTGTTTTGATTTAGCATCAAATCAAAAGTTAGGGTTTGGTTATTCACATCACTGATAAGAATGATTGTTTGATTTCAGTTTTTGCTTCGTATCATTTAGAATTTTGCTCTCCACAGAGGCCTTATATATTTTTAAAATGGAGAGAGTATTCTAAAAAATTTTACAATTGTTCAAAATTTCCGCTGTAAGCATTTTTTTTTCCTGATTGGTTAAGTAAGTGAAACGGAAAAGTTAGATAAGCAACTAGATTAGTTGGGGAATACTACTTTTTTGTGGGGTTATTTCCTTTCTTTTCTCTTTTTTGTGTTATCTTTTTTTATTTGTAAGAAGCTAGTGATAAAAAATAGGAAAGTGAAAGGAAGGGAAAGAAGTAATGTTAGGAAGAAAAGTAAAGGAAAGAAATTTTTTATTCACGAAATAAATAATTTATTGAATCAGTCATGGGTTTACTGATATAATTGGATTAACGTAAAAATTTTGAATCGACAAAATTAATCTTCGAATTAAAAAATATTTAGTAACTGTTAGATTCAAGAAACGGATATCTGAATATTCTTAGAAGAAAGAAAATTGAAACGGTTAAAGGAGAATTTGTATCATTTTATGATAGGATGTGGTTTAGTAAAGTACTTTTAAAATTAATGAAGTGATATCACTATTATTATATTTCATTATCAGTTAAAAACTGACGCAGCATCACAAAAATTTTAAACTTTAAAATAGATCCTTGATCCACTTCGTATCTAATTACACTCAATTGGAATACATATAAATAATCATGGATAGGGAGTAATCATTTTGCAAGATTAAAATTCGTAATTTTTTCGTCAAACTGAGTTTCGTTGTTTTATGAACAAAAAACAAAAAATTGGTGCTGACGAATAGGAGTGTAAGGGCGAGACATAAAAAGGAAAAATAATGTTTGAGTGAACATTTTAATATATATATATATATATATTTGTCGATCTTTCTTTTGTTTGCTTTATAATAGTGATATTAATTCTTTGAAGGTTTTTTTCATTGATTTCAAGAATTATTTAAGAAAATTATTATTACTTATTATTAATCACTATTATTATTATTACTACTATTGTTGCCATTATCAATGCTAAATTAGTACTAATTATTTCAGATTTGTTAAGTTTGTGTACAACTGCGATAGTTTATTGAAAATCCAAAATGAACGGAAGAAATGAAGAATATAATGTACAAGAAAACAATGTTCCTGACACCTATAGGTATTTTAATTACTTCTTGGTTTCTTCATCTAATTTCCTGCTATAATAACTTTTACTTCTCTGGAAAAAGAACGACATAAGATTGGTTTGTCTTGTACAGTGAAATGTTGCAGATTTTAGAAAATTATAGACGTTTCTTTGATGTTAAAGTTTTTCTTTCTTTTTTTTTCTTTGATTTTTGGCATTTTAGGGATGAATAATTATATGTGTTATATATATGCTGTTAAAAATATTTATTATAAGAAAAATGATGGATGGAATTACAGAGAT